AGCATTGGTCTGACAATTTGTAGTGAGGTAACTTGGGGTTGCTGTGATGCTGAATGCTACACCACAGGTGTGTCAAATGCCATACTGGTTATTCATTGTGGACGGTGTTTGGTGGAGCTCCCAGATTGAGTCATGCTTGGAAGCAGGCATGGCATCATTTTTTAAACCACATGCCTCTGCAAACTCTATGAATGTAGAGAAACAACTGGGTTCAGGTCTTTTGTCCATAGAGTTGCTACAGTCATGCAAGACTTGATGACACTTAATAACAATAACAACAAATTGGGATTAACCCATTGCAGATTCATCTTCCAGTGGGTTTCCAGAGGCAGTAAATCACATGAAAGGAGATTGCCCGTCTTTCTTCCATGGAGCAAGCTGGTGGATTTGAACCACATGCCTTTGGGTTGACAGCACAATTCCTTACCATGAAGTCATCAGAGCTCCCTGATGGCTTTGCGATAAGGATTTACACTGTCAAGGCAAACTCCCAGCTCTCCATGGGAGGAAGTTGAACAATCTCTTCCCCTGCCTTTTGCTGCCTCTGAAAGCCTGCTGGAGGGTAAGTCAGCTATGAGTTTGTTCCGACTTGATGGTACACAAAACCAACAGGATGTGAGGAAGTACAGTACCACCAAAGGTAGTTCAAATCCTCTCTTGTAAATGTGTACTCCCTTCATGTGACGTGTTAGAAATGTTTGGAAGCCTCTCAGTCAGCAGGAAACCAGAAGCAGCCACAAAGGCACCAAGTGTTTATGTAGCACCAATGCCTGTGTGGCACCAAGTGGCAAATGTGGCACATCTTCCAACCAATCACCCCTTTGGGCAGTGCTTGCAGCAGAAGGGAGGTGTTGAGCAATGCAACCTGCAAGGAAACTGTGAGGGATAAATTCAAGGGAATTTAAATCCTCACCAGCAAACGCTCACTTCCGTCACATGGCATGTTATAAATAATTGGAAGCCTTTCAGCTGGAGACAGACACCGGCGAAACCAGAGCAGCAACACTTCCTGAACTCAGGTAAGAGAATGTTTCCCTGTATATTGTGTCTGCAGTTCGGAGGATTAGCCCAGTCGTTCAGCCAGTTTACTCAGGCATGTTCACCTGAGTCCATACGTAAAGGAACCCAGTCCATTAGAAGGAATCCTCTTAAGAAATGATTTTGTAAATTACAATCTAACGTGAGAGGGACTGGAGAGCATTATGCTGAGTGAACTTACTCAGTCTCATAAGGACAGATATTGTATAAAACCATTATTGTAGAATGAGTATGAAGATGCGAGGGGGGAGGAGGATGAAAACAGGGTGAGGATGGGAGGTACTGATTATAGCATCGCACAATTTGATGGGGAGGTGGTGAAGAAAATGGGAAAGATCTGGTGTGAAAAACAATGTATTCAAACTTTGTTAATAAATCAGTTTAAAATAAAAAATATGTTTTTAAAAAAGAACGAATTCTCTTAGAAGATAAGCGTTGCTATATTTGCTTTTACATTCTTGTATCTAACACAGTAATGAAGATAGTGGAAACTCAAGAAATGTTCAAGACATCTCGCATCAGTCTTCTCTATTTAACAGTCTTCTCTATTTAGCACTTGTCAAGTGCTAGGTTTGTGTATTATCATTCTATTTAAGTGTCAGGATAAGTTCCTGGTATAAAATATAATTTTGGGACAAAGGAAAGAAAACATAGATAGGTATAGTCACATGCAAAAGAAAAATTAGAGAGGTACACACACTCAAAGCTCCATAGATGTAGAGTGACTACCGGGCTTGCTTGAGACCTCCCCATTTTAAAGTGAAATCCCCCTCGGTCTTCGGCAAACCATGATGATTGGTTACTTTCCATAGAAGGGAAGCTGTAAAGTAGGAATCTGGACCCAGTTCTCTTCTCCCATCCAAAGCTCTCTCTGATACTGCTGAGTTTCATGTGTTTATTCCCTTTTCCTGTGCTTGGCTGTATTTCTGATTGGCATATTTAAAAATGTATATGGCACTCACACGAAAGGTCCAGTAAATTGTTGTTGATTGCCTTCGAATTGAGCACGACTCATAGTGACCCTATGAACAAAAGGCCTGAAGCCCCTCTACAACCAGTGACATTTATGAAAGTTCATAGAGTTTTTGGAGGCATGTTGTTTAGGAAGTAGATGCTACTTCTGCTTCCAGTAAATAATGATGACTATCAGGGCTGGGTCAAGTCATACTGGAGCTTGAGGAAAGATGTGTGCCCTAGAAAATATTTTCATGATGATATATATATGTTGTGAGTTTTTTATATGTGTCTGTATACATATATATCTATATGTACACACACACACACACACACACACACACACACACACACACACTCATTAAGGTGCACCTGATCCAGGCCATGGTCTTTGCAATTACTTACTCTGCATCAGAGAGCTGGACAATAATGAAGGATGACAGAAGAAGAATGGATGTCTTTGAGTTGTGGTGCTGGAGAAGAGTCTTGAACATACCATGCACTTCCACGAAAACAAATAGTTCTGTTCTGGAGAAGGTGAAATCGAATTTCTCCTTGAAGGCTAGGATGTTGAAACTCCATCTCACATACTTTGGACACATGACCAGGAGGGACTGGTCCTTGAAGAAGGACATCATGCTTGGAAGGGTGGAGGGACAGCATAGGAGAGGAAGACCCCAGGTGAGATGGATTGATATAGTGACTGGGGCAATCGGGTAGGAGTGTTGGAATCAATGAGACAGGACAGGGAAGGGTTCAGAGCTGCTGTACATAGTATAGCTATGCAAACCAGGCAACTCAATGGGACGTAACAACAACATACTATGACAGATTTGGAAGAAGGAGTGGCCTCCACTTCCTAAATAATATGCATCCGGAAACTCTATGAACTCTGATAAATGTAGATAGTTGTAGAGGGGCTTCAAGCCTTTTCTTTGTAGAGGCACTGTGAGTCATGCTCAACTGAAAGCAATCAACAACCACAACAACAAAAACACACACACTATCATATATATCTTGGGTGGCTCCTTGGAGGCAAGGATTCTGAGACTCCGTCTAACATACTTTGGACATGTTGTGAGGAGAGACCGGTCCTTAGAGAGGGACATCATGCTTGGGAGGGTGGAGGGACAGCGCAGGAGAGGAAGGCCCTCTATGAGGTGGATTGATTCAGAGACTGGGATAATCGCGATGGGAGTGTCAGAGACAGTGCGACTGGCACAGGACAGAGTGGAGTTTAGGGCTGTTGTACATAGGGTCGCTATGAGTCCCAAGCGACTCGACGGCACATAACAACAACAACAATATATATATTGTTGTTGTTATTGTTCTGTACCGTAGAGTCAGAACTGACCCATAGCTGACCCTCCGGCAGGAGGTTTTCAGAGGCAGTTAATCACACAGGAGGAGATTGCCCATCTTTATCCTGTGGAGCAACTGATGACCTCGAACTTTGTGCCTTTGGGATTGCAGCTTCTTGCCACTAGGCCACCAGAGCCATCTATATCTATATCTATGTCTATGTCTATGTCTATGTCTATGTCTATGTCTATGTCTATGTCTATGTCTATATCTATATCTATATCTATATCTATATCTATCTATATCTCTATATAACACTGCTGTATATAAACACACACACACACACACACACGCGTGCACACACACAGTAGCATACACACACATATGCTGTTTTCTTTGGAGAACTTTGTGGCAGTTGAAAAACAATATTGAATAATAAAAAAGTAGGTCTATTATAGCCCAAACAGAATTCAGTACAATTGCTTGTAATGTGCAAGCAATAAGGGATGCAAACTCATCAATGATTTTCAAAACATATTGTTTTGAAAAATGAACAATCTAAATGCATAAAACATGTATATCGTATGTATGTTGCTCCATTTACCTCGAGCACCACTATGGGTACTAATGATACTGTCTTTATAGAACATTTTTATTCATTTTTGCTCATTTTAAAGGTCATTTTGATATTTTATTACAACATTATTTATCTCGAGTACCGAGGTGTTTTGGTGGCTTCTTAAATTTTAAGCCAGAGGCAAATGCCCCATTCACCTCACCTATCCATGGCTGTTAATTTTCTTTTACCTTATAATTCCACAGATGCTCTAATTGTCTTCTTCCTATGCAACCTCACCCCAAGAACAGAGTCCTCTTGTTAATTGTCTTCTCTTCCTTTACTGCCTGACCTGAGCACACTCTGGGATCTATCCTGGGAGTGCCTGACAAGAGCCTTCCTGCAGAGGGCGCTGTGGGGTCTGAAATGCCTCATGAGGCGGGAGAAACGCTGTTGCAATCAGGCTGAACCTTTCTTTCCCTGGCAGCAGCATGGTTATGAAATCATTGAGTTTCTGTTTTGCCTTTGGGGCTGAAATGGTTCCATTATCCCCAAATGACGAATCTGATCTCAGACAAATGCCAACAGAACAAAGCTTTCGGGCCCCCAGGGGATAGTCTAAACCCAGGCAGTTTGCATCAGGAGTTTTTGATGGTGTGGGTACAGCTTTGGCTGAGAGGTTGATTTTCTCTGCTCTCCCCACATATCTAGGAGACCAGAAAGATGAGCTGCATTGGCAGTCTGAAAGGTAGCTACGTCAATTCCCTCAAACAAGTTTTGACATTTCCCCAGAAATGTCATCCTTTATCTGCTCCAGGCCCTGCCTGCTGGGCAATGAGGATGGGGCTGGGATGGGGCAGCATAAAGGAGCTGGGATCTCATGCCACCAAGTCACTCACATTCAGATCTGAACCAGCACCTGAACACTTGCCTTCCAGGAAAAATGTTTTTTTTTTTCTTAGTAAGTTGTATGAATAAGGCCAGATACTTTGGATTCAGATAGGACTGTTTAAAGTTGCAGTTAGTGGACACCTGGGAAAGATATATCTTTGATGACTCTTTAGGATGTGAGAGGAAGAAATCTGTGAGTAGTAACACTTTCTTTCCTTTGCATTTCTAGCTCCTCTGGTCTCCAGGTTCCAGGCACAAGATGAAAAGCTCTGGTTTTGCCCTCTGCCTGCTCCCTGCTATATTTTGTCTCTTTTGGACTCTTTCTACTGGGCAGAAGATACTGCATTTGGGAAAATGCGTGATTTCCACACACCTTCAGAAACTAAGAAACGAATTTTCTGAGATACGGACCAGTGTGGTATGACACCCACCTCATCTTGTGGTGGCCTCTCTTTTTTGGCAACTTTTCTCTCTTGCTGTCTTGGAAGCCCTGATAATGTGATCACACATTCCCAGCCAGCAGAATGCATTTCTGAGAAATATCGGTAGTTGGTAATTTAAAAGTCTTTTGGGAAGGGACAACTCCCACTGGGCCTTGGCAGGGAAAGTACAAGCAGAGCAAGTAGTTGCTAAGACCCTGGTAGTAATTTACTAACCTTCCCCTCTTGTCTTGCTTCCTTCTTTTTAGCAAGCTCAAGACAAAAACACTGACATCAGGATTTTGAGGAGATCGGAGTCTTTACAAGACACCAAGGTGTGTGCTTGGCCCACTGGGTGCTGGGAGGGAGCATGATGGAGTATCCCTGTCACAATGGGCTTTGTTTCTCCTGACACAACTGTCTTCTTTTCAGCAATCAGATCAGTGCTGCCTCCTCCGTCACTTACTAAGACTCTACTTGAGCAGAGTTTTCAGAAACTACAAGACTTCTGACCACCACACACTCCGGAAGATCAGCAGTCTCGCCAATTCCTTTCTTACCATCAAGAATGGCCTCCGGCTCTGCGTAAGGAAGGGTCTTGGGTAATAGGACGCCTCACAGCGCAGCACTCTAATCGTTTAAGGACCACACTGTCTTTTCCATTTAATGAGTGGAATTAAAAATAAAATACAATGAGCTGTGCCAAGACATGAGGCTATGTAATAAGAACCTAGTTGTATTGACTTTGACATATGCTCAGTGTAAAGAGTGCTAAGTCTAAAAGAACTCTTCAGTTGCTATTTGATATGCATGCCGTCATCCAGGAAGTGACTAGTTTTGGGTTGGGGAGCCATCCCACTGTGTTCTACTGTGTCCTGTGTCACCAATCAGCAAACCACTAGCCTCAATCTCAGTAGGATCTGCATAGAATCTAGGAATCCAATTATCTCTTCCTATGAAGGTTTGGACTAGATCTAGGGGAGAGACACAATGGCCAGATAGGGTCCAGTGGGAGAGGGGAGTGCAAACTCCTCCAGTCAGTCAGTCAGTCAGTCAGTGCTGTGGAATTCATAGCTGACCGTCAAGTGGATTTTTGATGTCTATGAACCACTTGGGGAAATTATCCATCTTTCTCCTATGAGGTGGTTGGTGGGTTCAAATGTCAAAGAGCTTCGGGTTAACAGTGCAGTTCTCTAGCCAGTATATGTCATTGTTGTTGTTGTTGTTGTATGTTGTTGAGTCAGAATTGACTTCTAGCTGATCCTCCCGCAGGGTGGCAGAGTCAGTAAATCACATGGGGGAAGATGGCCCATCCTGTCAAGGAGCAACTGGTGGATTTGAACCATGTTCCTTTGGAATTACAGCACAGCTCCTTACCACTAAGCCATGAGAGCTCCTTAAACTCCTCCAGTGTTCCTTATTCTTATAAGAAAGAAGAATGAGCTAAATATTTGAGTCTAAAAGCTAGCTTCCTGTTCAAGCTGATTGATTCGTTTAATGATAGCAAATGATGAAATCTGAAAGGACTTTTCTGTAGACATAAGGAGCTCTGGTGGCCTAAGTGGCAAGAAGCTGCTCTGCAATCCTGAAGGCATGCAGTTCGAATCCACCAGCTGCTCCGTGGGAGAAGGATGGACAGTCTCCTCCAGTGCGATTAACTGCCTCTGAAAACCCACTGGAGGGTCCGCTATGGTTCGGTTCCGACTTGACCATATACAACAACAACAGTGTATCTGTAGGGATGTGAGTGAAGTGTGGAATTCCCACTACTTCAAATCAGTGGGGAAAACTAGAATCTTTAATAAAATTCATCACTCTTTGGCTTTCTTTCAGCATGACAAAATGGCATGCCACTGTGGAGAAGAAGCAGAGGAGAAATTCAGCCAGATTCTGAATCTCTTCGGAGAGGTACCTGCACTTTGGGGGTTGCTTGGGATGAGCGTGTCCTTTGAAGTGAGCTCAGTCTGTAGTCATGGCCAAGTGTTTAAGGTGATAGACTAGAAGTGAGCTCATACAGGCCTAGGGCATGCGTGCTGCTGGAAATGTTGTAGACCTCAGGTGGTTAACTTTTTCAGGTTGTGTGTACCAGCTCTCTGCTTTTAACTCAGAGGACACCCTTCCACGATCTGGAGGGACGCTTGTGCTGAATGACACTCTGAGAAGTGAAAGGCACTAGCCATGCTTCCTCTAAGTCACGCCAGAGATATCTGGATCTTCCAGCTGCACAAACAGCTTTCTAATAGACACACACTTCCGCATACCCTCACTAACACCCTCAAGTTCACGTGCATCTGTCCCATGCTGTGTCTCACCTCCATGCCTTTGCACTTCTGCCTGGAAGACCTGGAGTTCAGCCCTCACTGACAAACTCTTCCTCATCCTGGAAGTCTCAGCCTAGGGATCACCTCCAAGGAGGCGCTAGCTGCCTCTCTCAGAGTTAGGTGTCTCCTAGGGCATCCTGTGAGGACTTTATTCTCAATCCTTCTATCATTCTCTCTCATTGACTGTGAGTTCCTTGTGAGTAGAGATTGGCTCACTCATTTCTGAATCTATAGTTATCAAACTCAATGCTTGGCATGAGAAATATGTGTTCATTTGAAGTACACATAGTAGGTACTCCCTACACACACACACACACACACACACACGCGCGCGCGCTTTTTTTTAATCTCTGTGGTTTAAGAGGCTGGGTTTGCAGTCCCCATTCTGCTGTCTTTTGGGCCTACGTAACACTCAGTAATCTCCCTTATAAGTTGAGATTCTATAATTTTTCCAACTGAGTTGTCGTTTGCTGTTATGTACCTTTGAATTGGAATCAACGCATAGCTGACTCGTGAGTGGGTCTTCAAAGGCAGTAAACAGCACAGGAAGAGATTGCCCTTCTTTCTCTCATGAAGCAGCTGGTGGACTGGAATCCCCTGCCTCTGGGTTGACAGTGCAACTCCTTAGTCACTAGGCTACTAGTGCGCCCTCTCAAACTCTGTAGCATGTCAGAGCCCAGAATGCACAGCTCAGAGCCCCAACAAACCTGTCAATGAGAGCAGAGGATTAACTGCAAAGTAAGTGTTGTCTCTTCATGAGTTGCTGACCCCAGCCATGCATTTCTCTTTCAGCTGGAGCCTCAGGCAGCTGTGGTGAAAGCCTTGGGGGAGCTCGACATTCTCCTGCAATGGATGGAAGGGACAAGGCAGGAGAAAAGGGATGTTGTTGAGAGCATTCCTGGCTAAGAGTCCTGGTCCGTAGCAGCCACTGAACGGTGACTGAGAAACACCGTTTCTTTTTGATACAGTTTAGTGATGGTGCCCATGTATATGATTTATTTATTTATTATTTGATTCTTTATTGTGGTTGTGGTCTTCATGCATCTCAGATCTTTCTTTAGACTGTAGTTTTATATTATTTTTTATTATAAAAATATTTTTGATCATTTTCTACTACCAGGCATATTTATTAGCTTGATATATTTATTTATTTTTACTATTTAATGTATTTATTTTCCTACTTGAACCATGCATAATATTTTTTTTAAAATGTAACTTAAGATTAATTTAAACTTAAACAATCAAATATAGTATAGAATATATTTATAACCTGACAAGAATAAACAGACCCTTTCCATTCTACAAGAGTAGCTGAGGGATTTGTTGATTTTTATGAAATTAAGTTTTATTTATAGAATGCCAATTCTCTATGAGATATTTCATATTGAACCAATGACTACTTAGCATGAATCACAGAATTTAAAGCGCCACTGTGAATTGTCTGTCTGTTCCTACCTACCCTCTTTCCCAAATCCAAATGTGTATCTTCCTACTGTGGAACCTTGCATTGCCAAAATGCATTTCAACAAATAAAGTTGTTTTCTTGGAGTTGTATTTGTTCGGAGTTATGGAGGTGCTTCAGAAACAGAGATCGTGGTGGAGGTGAATGCGGATCATCTGCCGTTCGTGACCCTCTTGCTTCTCTGAGGAAGCGGATGTGTTAACCGGAGCCTTCTCACTCCCGCTGGATTCATTCCCAGTTTCCTCTCTTTAACTTACACCGACTCCATGACTGTCCTTCAAAGAAAGTATCGGTCGGTCACTTAGGAGAGACCTCGGCCCTCCCTGCCTTTTCTTCACAATCTGCTTGTTCTCTCTGTAGCCCTCTTTTCTTTCTCACACCTGGTTCCTATACACTTGCATCAGGGGTTGCACCACCCATGACAACAGTAGGCGGCTCTATTGCAGGCGTTAAGATCAGACAGATGCAGAGTTAGTTACAGAGCCCAGCCCAGAGAGGTTACAAGCTTACTTTGGAGACCCTCGCAGTTTGAATTCTGTCTAGCTCCACAATTAAGGGTTGTTGTTGTTGTTGTTATGTGCCTTTGAGTCGACTCTGACTCATAGCAGCCCTATGTACCCTGCTCTGTCCTAAGTCAATTTTATTGTCTCTGACACAGCTACTTCCATTACCCCAGTCACTGAGTCAGCTCATCTCATCAGGCTCTCCCTCTCTAGTGCTGTCCCTCTCCAAGGACTGCTCCCTCCCTGCAACATGCCCAAAGTATGTCAGACGGAGCTACAGAATACTTGCCTCCAAGGAGGATCCTGGTTTCACCCTCTCCAGCATGGATCTATTTGTTCCCTTGGCAGTCCATGACATATTTAATACTTTTCTCCAGAACCACACTCAAATACATTGTTTCTTCTTCTATCTTCCTTAGTCATTGTCAGGCTCTCTGTTGCATGGCAAGTAATTGTGAAGACCATAGGCTGGATTAGGCACACCTTAGTCTCTAGATCTACATCATTGCTTTTCAGTACTCTAGAGAGGTGCCTGTCAGCAGATTTTCCCAATGCAATTAGTCTTTTGATTTCCTGGCTCCTGGTACCAAGAGTGCTGAATGTGGAGCCAAGCAAACTGAAGTGGTTAACAATCTCAGTCTCTTCACCATCTAATCATGATGCTGCTAGTTGGCCCAGTGGTGAGAATCTTTGTCTTTTTGATGTTGAGCTTCAATTCATATTGAAGGCTGCAGTCAACCTTCTGCAGCAAATGCCTTAGTTTTGGCAAGCAAGACTGCGTCATCTGCATAACGTAGGTTGTTGATGAGTCTTCCTTCAATACTGATGTCACATTCCTCCTCATAGAGCCCAGCCTCCCAGATGATATGTTCAGCATATTGATAGAAAAGATGTGGAGATAAGAAGCAGCCCTGGAGTATACCTTTCTTAATATTGAACCATGCAGTGTTTCCTTGCTCTGTTCTGACTACTGCCTCCAGATAATTAGTCCAAGTATAGGTTTCGCATAAGCACAATTGAGATTCCCATTTTTCTCAAAGTCAGCAACATAAACTATTGTTCTGATCAAACCACTCAGACAACATTCTCTTTGTAGGCCCTCTTCAGGGCAGACAGTCTTAAGCTCTAAGGAGACAGAATTCTAACCTGGGCTGATTCCTTCCTTTCCTCCCACCACACATTAAACTGTATTTCCAATTTAGTAGCTCAGTTTCCTCAAAATTAGACACACAATAATTTCTTGGCTTCTGTAGAAACTCTCCAGATTTTTAGTGGTCTTTAGCATGTTGTTACTGAGTACCATTGAGTTAGAATCGACCCATAGCTTTCCTTCCAGTGGATTTTCAGAGGCAGTTTAATCACACAGGAGGAGCTTGCCCATCTTTCTGCACAGCAGCTAGTGGATTTGAACTGCTTGCCCTCAGGATTGCAGAACAGCTCCTTACCACTCAGCCATCAAGCTCCCTAGGCCCTGAGATGATTTAAATGCTATTATTCATCCTTACCCTCTAGTGGATGCCCCTCCTGCTTCCAGGCTTGTTTTAACTGGGGAGCTCCACCAAACACTGTCCACCATGGGTAACCATTACTGCATTTGACACATCAGTGTCACAGTGTTCAGCTTCACAGCAACCACAAGTTACCTCTATACAGCAAGTGAACACACCAATGCTATAACACTTAGAAGAATGTTTGTCCAAAAACAATTAAAACCAGGCCCGAGGGCCGCAGATTAAAATCTGCGATTAAAACCCACTTTTGGCTTGGTAACATCACTTTCTGTCCTCATGGCCATCTGATCTCTCTCGTTGTTGTTAAGTGCCATTGAGTCATAGATGACTCATGGAGACCCTTTGACTTGAACTTGAAGAAATTCAGAAAGTTATACAAGTGTTCAAGTCTTTTATTCATAGAGTTGCTATGAGTCGTCTATGACTCAACGGCACTTAACAACAACAACAACAACCCTCTAGTGTGAGCTCTGATGGCATAGTCAGTAGGGAGTTGCACTGCTAGTCAAAGGGTGGTGTCTCTCTGGCAGTTCAAATCCACCAGTGGCTCTGCAGAATTAATATGAGCAATATCTTCCCATGCAATTAATAGCCTCCAAAAACCTGCCAGAGGGTCAGCTGTCTGTTCTGATTTGATAATAATATGAAAGAGAAAGAGAGAGAGAGATGGGGAGAACATGAGGGAGAGAGGGACCCATCAGATTATAGAAGTACTAACGAGAGATTTCCAACCAGATATCGCTTGGAGAAAGGTCAGCCAGAGACTCCTTAGAGGTAAGGATAATAAAACTTCATACATATAATAACAAAACATACGTTGAGCATGTTGTTCTTGTCGTTAGGTGCCGTTGAGTCAAGAACAGCTTATAGTGACCCTCTGAACAATAGATCTGAACCCAGTCCTCTCCTGTGCCAGTTCATCATCTCTGACCTGCTTGACCCCATCGCTGCCATTGCTGTGTCAATGCATCTCGCTGAGGGTCTTCCTTCCAGCATGATGTTCCTCTCCAAGGAATAGCCTCTCCTATCAACATGCTGTATATGAGACGGAGCATTATCCTCTTTGCATCCAAGGAGCACTCTGGCTGGTTGTCAGCCAGACCAAGACACATCTTGCTTGTCCAAGACATATCTGTTTGCCATTTTGGTAGTCTATGGGATCTTCAGCACTCTTCTCCAATGCCACAGTTCAAAAGTATCACTTTTTCTATCTTCTTTAGAAAGAGACATCCTACTTGGAAAGGTAGGGAGTCAGGAAAAGAGAGGAAGACCCTCAATGAAATGGATTGATTGGCAAAGTGATTATAGCAATAGGCTCAAATGTGTCAAAGGTGATGAAGATGGCACAGAGTAGAACATGGTTCAGACTTGTTCGTGGGGTCGCTGTGAGTCGTAGTCAACTCAGTGACACCTAATACCACCAGGCCCTGCTCTGCAAACAAGGCCTTGCCCAAATGGAAACAGCACCACAAATGGTGAAGGAATGACAGAATACAACCACTCCCCTCTTTCACTGGAAGGTTGAGAGGAGAAAAGGAGACACTCTCTAGTTTCACCAGCCTGTCAGGAGTAGGATGAGTCAACCGCTTAACGGGAAGAGGGTAGGACTCAGAGGCCTGGAGGCAGGAAGGTGTGGTTTATAAGAGCACTAATACCATTCAGAACACATTCTTTCCTAGTGTCACAGGATGTCAGAACTGGGAGGGAGCATAATGATCATCTCAGGGAATGTACAAATCATTTTCCAGAAAACAGGTTCCGAGAGGGAAAGTGTTGCAGCAGAATTGACATAAAATCTGAAGTCCCTGGGCTTTCCAGAATGACTAAATCTCAGATCAATTCAAAGACAAATAAAAGGCATTCAAATTAGAAAAGAAGCGAAAATGCCTTCGTTTACAAAATGCGAACCTGTTGCTAATAGATATCTGATGGAATCTATGAAATGTTGTTGTTGTAGTTAAGTGCCTTTGAGCCTTTGGCGACTCATAGTGACCCTATGAATGAAAGTCCTTGACCTCTGCATGACTTTCATACTTTCTCCAGGTTCACAGGGTTTCCAGAGGCAAACTATTTACGGAAGTGGATGCTACTCACTTAATACTCAGCCCAAAGATATACAGTGTCCTCCTATGAGAGCTACAGCCTCTGAAAACTACAGGAGGCTCAGCTCTACGTCAGTTCCAACTTGTTGACACACAACATAGTTTAATAAGAAAGTTTAAAAACTATGCAGATATAAAATCAATATACAAAAATCAGCTGTATTTCTATACTCTAGCAAGCAACAGTGGAACTTGAATTTAGAAAGAGAAAGTTATTTACAATGGCAACAAAACATTAAGTGCGGAGGGAAAATCTAACATCCATATGAAAGTTTTCCACATTTAAAACAAGAAGTCATTGCAGGAATACATTAAAGCTCATCTAAGC